CCCTGCAACCCGTGGGGTTTTTCTCCCACTTTTGCTCCCGTCCTGTCCTTCCCCCCAGCAAACCATCGGGGGAAGGGGTTTCACCCCCCGGGGTAAAAAAGTCCTAAAGGCTCCAAGCCTCCATGCGAGCCTGGGAAATACAGCCGGGGTGCAGAGGGAGGTGGCTTCTCGGGCGGGGATGAGGGGGTCTCCCCGTTCACTGGCTGTTCCCACGCGTGGGAGGGGAAACCCACCCCTCTAACACCGCCCTTGCCGGTAATACCGCATCCCTCCCCCGCGGTGCTCACACCCGCCGAGCCCCCGGGAGCTGCAGGACCCAGCCGGCGTGCCTTAAATGCGATAAACCCCCAAATAAATAAAAAAAAAAGGGGGATGCAGAAGCAGGGTTAGAGGAGGGAGGGGTTCCCCTCGTCTTGCCACTGGGGATCAGCACTCCCGGGCAACCCCCCCGACCCCGATAGCATCCTCGCCGGGGAGGGATGGGGCAGAGCCCGGCTGCTCTAACCCCCCCGACTCATCCTCAGGGCAGCCTTGCTGAGGCCGAGGGTGTCCCGTCCCCCCCCCGCCCCAACCCCCTTCTCTCCCCACCTCGGCGAGTCCCAAGCTCCTTGGGACACTCCAAGCACGGATTATTAAAACAATAAATACTCGCGTGTACGGCAGGAGACAGGCACAGGGGCTCTCGCTCACTCCCTGAGCTCCCTCCCCCAGTAAAATTCTTCCTTCCTCCTTGTTTTCCCCTCTTGGCGGTAGGAAATCCTCGGAGGCGGGGATGCGGCTTTTCTCTCTGCTCCTTCTTCCCAGTTCATGTCTTGCTTCTCGTCCCTCTCCAACCGGTGGCAACGCTGGAGCTCTCTCCGTTATCCACCCGGGAGCAGCCCTCGGAGCAGCCCCGACGGCTGCCGGGGCGGAGAGAGGGTGGGGGGGAGGCCGGGGAAGCGAGCGGAGGGGAGGAGGGGGGGGTTTGTTGGTGTTGTTATCGTCGTTCTTTTCCTGAACGGGAAAAAAAAAAAAAAAAAAGAAAAGAAAAAACAACAAACCGCGGAGCCGATGATGGAGGCGCTCCTGGACGTGTTTCCCCTCCTCTCCAGCTGACAAGTCCCTTTTTAAAGCAGCAGAGAGGAGTGGGGGGGGAGCAGGGGTGTAAATCAGTGCTCCCCACTCCTTGCTGCATCCCGGCCCGGGGGGAGCAGGGGTGTAAATCAGTGCTCCCCACTCTTGCCGCAGCCCTGCTCAGGGGGCAGCAGGGGTGTAAATCAGTGCCCGGCCTGGGCTCCCATAGAGACGACCTCCCGGAGGGGCCCAGCGGGACCTGCCCACCCTTCTCGGTCCCTCGCCGTGCACAGCGCTGTACAGTTGCGAGGTCACTCGATATTGACCCGGGATTGGGGGTATATTTCTTTCTCTCCCGGCCTTTCCGAGCCTGGTATGGACTTTCTGCAAAGGTCCCTCCAAAGTGACAGAAGAGCTAACAGCCTTACCCAAAAACCTGTCCAGCGCCTTCCCACGGCGAGCTCTAGGGGAGGTGGGACAGCTTCGGGGGGACCAGACAGCTCCATGCCTGGGTTGTGCCAAGCCCTGGGGGGCTTCCTAAAGGGACTGTGTTTTATCTGGGTCCTGCAGCACCAGGGAAATGCTCCCTTGGCCAGGCTGCGGGGACACCCCACACAGGGACCTTCCTAGCAGGGACGAGCTGGAAAACCACTGTCCCTTGCCCTCCCGAAACCCAGAGCTGTCTGGGCTTTCGGACAGGTTTGCAAACCCGTAGGTTAATGGCAGTGCAGCAAGAAGTAAATAAATAAATAAATAAAAACCCAAACAAAACAAAAAAAAACCATCCACCATCCTCATCTGCTGCCCAGAACCGTGCTGGGCCCCAGACCGGCGCAACAGGCCATGCAGCAGCTTCAGCCAGCCCCCACTGGGGCCAAGCTTGGCCCTCCTGATCTGCTATGGGGGGGATTATGAGGGTCTTTCAGCTGTGAGGGCCTGCAGCTGTCTGCAGCTCCTACCCTGGGCCTTCCTCCTTCCTCCCCCTCTGCCCCAGTCGAGCTGAAGTCACCTGTCGCAACAGAGGCCTATTGCGTTATCGACCTCCCTATCTCAGCTTTTAAATACAGCCCCAGAAAAGGTCCA